ACGCTTATAAAGAGCTAATTGCAATATATATATATATACAATATATCCAAGTTCTCCCACTTATCTACCAACAAATATTATTTTCACATGACAAGGGCAATCAATTTAATTAACTTTACGATATGTCACGTTATCAAAAGGTATAATACAAACTCCATTTCAATATACCCATTTTATCATGTTTATTACAAAAACCGTCTCGATTTTAAAGAATGTTAATAACAACAGAGATACAGATGCACATACTAATCTCATTTGACACGTATTTTTATTATACAAATTACACAGAATGCTTTCACAACAGTGAAGATTTAGATAACGTGCGTAAACTGCATGATAGGCGAGCCGCAGAAATGACAATATTTATTTATTCAATTTGTATTTTAAAGCAAGTACATCATGAGAATAATAAGTGTATCTTTATCTCCTGGTATACACACTGTATGTATTTATAATTTATAAATCGCTCCCCCTTTGCCACAATGTCATAGGTGGGCATAAAAAAAAATCTTTTCATTGCTGTTAAGAAACTTGTTACTGTTATTGTTACTTGTTACTTGTTACTGTATAATTTAGTGCAAGCCTACAATGCTTCATTAAAATCAAAGTTAGAACGGCTACTACCATAATGGATGTGCGCGCAAGATGTAAATCATCAAAATCTGCAAAACTGTAGGAGGCAATTTTAAAATATTACATACCAATGGATTTGGAAAAGTTCGGCCACCCTTGGGAAAAATTTTAATGGGAGATTCTAGAGGCCAAAATAAGACGAAAATCAAGAATATCAATTTGTTGATTGAGCCTTCGTTAAAAAGTTATTAAAAAATTAAATTAAAAAATTTCAAATCCTCCAGGAAAAAATTATTTTCGGTTGCGGGGGCCAATTACAATCATTTTTGGTCAATACATATACCCACGAAATCCTACGCACTTTCGAGAAAAAAATTCCTAATCGAAAATGTAATTTATGGCCAGAAATGTTGTCCGAAAATTTCATGCGTATCTTTAAAATGTCATAACTTCTGAACGGATTGAAGGATTTTAATTTTCAAAAATGCAAACGACGCGTATTTTAATCAAGAATACGTAGAAATCGCAAAAATATGCAAAAAGTTGATCCTTGACCCCGCAAAATGAGAAAAACCCCATAAAAATGGTCCAATCTTCAAACAGCCATAATTCCTACAATAGTGAATATATTTCAATAAAACTTTTTTCTGAAGTAGAGCTCATAGGTACCTACAAAAAAGTATTGGCCAACTTTTTTGTAGGGCGTCAAACAAAATTATTAAAAATGAAAAACGAATTTTTAAGAAAAATCGACAGGGGTGGTTTCACCCCTTAAACTCGAGTTACCGCAGCTAAAAAAAAATACGTGTCGATTATTTTTAGCTGCTTTATAAGTGTACAAAGTTTCATCAAAATCGAAGCCGGACCGTTCGCGATGGTTCCTTGTAAGTCGATCTTCGTAACTCGGAAAGGTTGCGACTAAAAAGAAATAACTAACGTGCACCTTGTAGCTAACTTAAAACCGTGTAAATTTCTTCTATTAAACCTTTTTGTACTTTGGACCATTTATAAAATATTTGCTTGGATGTTCATAGACAAATACCCTATATAACTGCCCTAAAGAAAAGTTAGACTGATAGACAAAATTATAAGACAGCCTGAGAATGATTGATTTAGGTACTTAATATTATAGTTACATGAAAATACATTTCATCAAATCAAAATTTATTTTTTAAGTACATCTTCATAAATTTTGCGAAAAATAATAATAAATTCCTACAATAAAATTTTATTTGGACAAAATTATAAAACGCTGTTTTAAAAAAAGAAAAGAATGCACGAAATTTCAGAAAATTTCCAGACGTTTTGAAATGTTAATAATGGGTAGTGCCTCCTTAATTTTGAACGACTTCGATTATTCGTTTCGGTAGACTTTTATATATTTATATACTTTTGATCCAAGTCTGCCGAACCTTTCAGAATTGCTACCTTCAAATCATTAAGATTATCATATTGTTTGCCACCTTTGAAATTCCCCTCTACTCAGTTGACCCAACACATTTTCTATAACATTCAGGTCCGGAGACCGTGATGATCAATCTAAAATTGGTGTATTTTCAGCTTGAAAATAATTTTTTGCAAGTTTGTATGAACAGCTGCATTGTCTTGCTGGAATACAACATTTTTGCAGCAAATCTGCGAGCATGATTCCGATTTTTGTATCACCGACTCTTATATCAGTTTTAAGAAAACAGTACTTTTCATTCTATTTACCATCAATGAACTTTATTTCGAGCTTCCCATTATATCCAACGCCTGCCCATAACATGGCAGATCCTCTAACCTTTGGTACAAGATTGTAGATAATACTAAATATTTTGTCTTTTTCTATTCTACATACAAATATTAAATAAAAAATTATTTTTGATAAAATGTCGTATGTGTATTCAGTTTTGCTCTTTACTATAAATAAATAACGCTGGAAATTGCATCAACCATTAAAATTTCAACGTTCTCAGTAAAATGTACTGTGCGTCCGCGAGAAGTTGCCAAGTGAAAGGAGCGCGGGTCTGATTGGATCTCTCTAGTTAAAAGTGGGGATGGGCGGAGTGAACGTAGTATTCTCCTGTCCTCTGCACCGTCCCGCTAACCAGCTTCTCGCGGACCGACAATGCAACGTTCAGGACAAATTTCATTATTTTTTGCGCGTTTCGGACCCAGTCGGAGCAAGCTGGCGATATCTCAACGGACGAGCGAGAATTATCGGTCCCGCGAGAACCCCTCGATCGACGGATTTCGACCGTCTCCGCGATACGGAAGGCTTCCCCGGTGGTCGTGCAATAACAACTTTTCCGAGGATTTAAACTTTCCTCGCCACTTTCCAAGCAAATAAAAACGAAGAAAAAGACCAAGAAGCTCGTCACTGTGGACGCGAGTTGTTAGCGGCACGTGCACCGCCGAGAACACGAAAAACCCTATATGGAAAGTTTCCTGGGTAACTTCGGTGATTGTATTGAGCTGGCCGGGATACATAATCCGATGTAACGATGACAGGGAAGACGTACGGGTATAAAAAGCGCCCGGCGAGCGGCAATCTTGCGCTTGTCTTGGCTACGAGTTGTTCCTAAGATTTTCGTTAGCTTTAACATCCGTGCTTACGTTTGCTCTGCCCCTTCTTGCCAGATCAGTCTTAAACTTTGCCATTTTTCTTTTTCCCGTTGCATAATACATACGTTGTCCCGTTATTTTTACATCTGCAGGAGCAAATACGAAGATCGACGGACGACGTAAAATTTCACGTAATCGTAAAATGATTTTAAGCAAAAATAAGAGAACGACGGGGAGTCAACGAATTTGTTTAAATCGCGTTACCTGTGCAATCGTGGTCGAGCCGAAAATTAATTAAAGACGACGTCGAGTGACGAGTGTTCGTAAACGCGCCTGCGAATTAATTTTCGGAAATAAACGGTAAAATGAAAGGTATTCGTCGGTAGGAACCTGTAGGGCAGTTCCATTTCGCGGCAGAATAGTTTTCAAACACGAGCTGCGCCGGCCGACACCCTTCCAGTTACACGAACATTAAAAGTACTACTTAGAGTGGCAGCAGTTATATATACATATATATACATATATATGTATATATATGTATGTACATATACATAGGTTGGGTCGAGGGAGAAGGGGAAGTTAAAACAATTAGCCGCGCAGCAGTTTCCACGGGGTTAAAAGGGGCGGTGGTCGAGGGGAGGGCAGGTGGCGTGGAAAGTCTCTGATTCACGGAAATTTCTCTTCCTTTTCGGAGGCCAGACAGGAGCCGGGTTCTCGCGAAAAATGTAATTAAATCTCCTTAAAGCGGGGCACACTCGTTAACGAAGTTTAGCCGCTTAGGCGGAAAGAAGCTCGATCAAAAGTACGACTAGCGGCTGGATACCGACTTCTTTTCGTGCTCTGGCCCTTCCCTCTGCTCGCTAATTATCGCACCTCCGGCCATCTTTCGTTCCTTCCTTCGCGCCATTCAACGCGAGCAAACGTAAGATTCTCGAGAACATTTACGCGACATCTGGAATACCACCAGACCGCCACCCTTTGCTACTCTACATATTTACACTCCATTTCATCGACATTTTATTACACGAGACGCGACCGCTCAGTTTCAAGAATTATTTCCTTTCTGCTGTTAGCAGCAACGAAGTCACGATTACGTCTACTAACGCAATTATAACTACAATTTATCGACACACTTTAAAGTTAAAAAATGCGTTTTTAATTTTCGTTATAGATTTATGAAAATAAGACAAGTATCCAGAAAATTTCTTGATCTCTTCTTTACCAAACAGTGTCAAACCATATCATTTACATATGATTCTGACACTAGAAGTAAAAGAACAAAAGATTCTCGGTTTAATTATTAAAAATGACAATGTTTTTTGTCGTAACATGAGAAGTGTACGATTTATTACAGAGCAATTAAGCAGGCGAAGACTTCGAAACTGCTTACGACTCGGACGTTTTATCGTCCTGCAATCTTCTGAACATGGAATTCTTAGCCAACCGAATACCACGTGTACATTACGAACAATCGACGAGGCATTTTCACGATCCATTCCCAGCCGTTGTCCAGGAATCTCGGAACAATATAGTGAAGGGAAAACTTCTCCCTTTTCCTGTGTATTCCCACGCAACCTTAATGCGACGTGTGAATGATAGAAATCAATAAATTTCTACATCTACGCGGATAAAAAACATCTGTGAAAACGTTTGTAGACTCGTATTAAAAGTTTTTCATTTTCTTTTTTTAATTTCCTTTCCCGAACGCTGTTAACCATCCAAAGTTGCATTCACAGTCTCGGAGCTGCGCGATTTATGATCTACGGTACGGTTAGGATATTTTTCGTTTTAGTCGATCCACAAAGGAGGTAAGCGCCATTTACCTGGTCGAAGCCAATGGCGTATCGCGGATAGCGAAGAGAGAATCAAACAGCACTTACCGCACAGCCCATCGATGCACCGGCATGTTCCATGTTCTCCAGAAAGTGTCGATGTTATTCGCGTTCCACCAGTCGCAGTAGAAATGCCGATCGGCGAAATGCAGCAGTTCGCCCATCAGATTGAGGGTCGAATGGAATAACAAGTAGAATAAGCACAACCAGACCAGATGGTTCGGTATCTGTAAAACAAACGCATCCGTCCAAGGTATTACAACGCGAATCGCATTTCATCGTAGAACGTTTATTCAAGAACAGTTGCGTACGTTCGACCCTCTCTAGTCTGTTTTCACTGTCCTACAAAGAAGGAAAGTTCACTCGACGTCTAAAGTTAAAGTTCGTATCGTTTTTCGAGGGATAGAAATTTACGAATCACGTTCGGGGTTTGACTGAAGAATCATTACTGAATTGCTTTTACATGTCGACTTTCACGCTTCAGTGGCTGCAAGGTGGTATAAAAATGTTCAACTTACGAATCACGTTCATTTTGAGAATCATTATTTGTAAAATTAAAATTGAAATATCTCTTAAATTAATGATTTTTGTAATATAAATAGGTTAATAAGTTTTTGAATGGAATATCAGAATGCATCGGCCGATGAAATAAAAAATATATGATTTCGTGTAAAGAAACGTTCATGACCTCCGTACATGTCTCGAGAACCCATTCTAACTTATACAGGGTGTACGCGAAAGTTTTGTCACCAGCTTTTAGGCATTTCCGGTAGAGTAATTAATTAAATAAATTAGAGTCATTGAAACAATTTTAATTATCATTCAAACAGCAAAATGATTAATAAATGATGAAGAAATAAAATTTAATATTACTATTAAAATAATTAAAAATCTGTATATAAATTTGTATTCTAATTTTATATAAAATTATTTATAAAAATTTATTTAATTTATTTTTCAAACAAAATTTTTTTAGTATTTGATTACATGTTCCCATATTGTTAAATCTCAAAAAATGTTTTTATGTGAAATGGCCAAGGTCTGGGTTTGGATTGGTGTTGAAAATCGTTTCGTACATTTGCAATACAGACGCGTTCTGAACGTACAGACTGAATTTAGTAAGAACGTGGCGTTTTATTTTAAACTTTTTTTGTTTTCATTACCGTGAACAGTTTTTCTCGTTGCTACCCGTTCGCCCCGTCGATCTTTATTAGTTCACAATGTGTATAACACGCGAGCAGCGTGGCCGACGGCTACGGGCACCAATATTTTGCTTCTTTTTGTTTCGTATTCTTCATTCGGGGCTCGTTAAACCGACGCGAATTCGCGTCTCTCGCTGTTCCATTGCTGTAGCCCCCTAGGCAACGGCGCAATTTCGCGTAATTCTTAACCACTGTTAGCACGCCGGAGGGGAAAGGAACGACGAAAGAAAGGAAATATGATAGTCGATGAAAAGTGCCAGGAGGAAACAGTATGATACGCAAGGTGTTTATAAATTACGACTAAAAATTGTCCGCGTGCTACATCCGCAATTTCTCCCACGTATTTATTAGTTTAAAAGTAATTTTCGCACCTTGATACATCGAAACAGGGTAAATTAACTTCACTATGCCTCGATGTAATAAATAAGTCGCGACTTTGTTATCAGTTCCGAACGATCAAATAAATTGCTTTCGATTACCGAGCGTTCGCGAAAAGTCTCAAACGCAAAAACTCCTTAAATGCAAGTTTATCGACGATTCCAGTGCACAATGGAAGAAGAAAACAATACTGTTCGCCGCTTTTAGTGATTCGGATTAACCAACCGATTTTAAACCGACTCGGTTTCCACAGTTGAAACACGTAGGCTGCATTCTCGCGTATGAAACGCGCGGCACAGAACCATCGTGACGCTTAAAAAGACTTAAATTGGCTGTAGAAATTCTTCTACCACTAAAATGGCGTCCTAGCGCATACGGTACTCGTCGATTGTCGTGTCGTTTCTGTTAATAAGTCTCGTCGAGATGTACTTTAGACGCAAAACTCAAGATCAGAGACGTTCCACAGTACAAATCAATTTCACGACAATGTCTCTTCTTCTTCCCGCCGACACAGAATCCCCCTAGCAGCGGGGATGAAATGTCCACGTTTAACGAAAGGTGCCTCCGCGCATTTAACGCGGAAATACCGTTCACGTTCCAATTGGAAGCGGAACGAAGCAAAGACGCGGTCGCAATGAAATCGCCTGGCAAGGATCAGAAGGATTCCCGTCGGGCCGCGGTCGTCCAAGGAAGAATTTCGAAGTTATTTCGTTCCGAATGTCTTCTCTAATTCGCCCTGGAGCGACCCCGCGCTTCCGTCGGCCCTTTGCGCGCTACGAAAGGACTTAATAATGTTGCCAAGCACAAAGGTCAAGTCTCCCGTGCCGGCAGGCATTCGCGGCACTTTTATGGAAACAGAGAAGAAGACACCCTTCGTCGGTCCTGTCTCTACTCTTTCGTCCCCCAACGCCGTGGCTCTGCGACGAGTCCACCTATTCCGCAAAAACTTACCTCGACGTTTTAATTTCGTTTACCCCGGCATGCTACGGACGGTCGAAGAGAAGCCGACGAGGGGGGAGGACGGCGGTTGGAGGGTCGGATAAAACCTGGTGAACCGTTTGAGACACGCCGATGATACCACAAAGGAAAAAGCGGCAGCGTAAACTTTCAGCCGACTTCCTGGCCAGAGGCTATCTCGGAACGGAACGCCTTCCACCCTCGACAAGAGCTTCCATCGAGGGGGAAAAATCTTGGCGGATGATATGCGACACGGTAAAGCGAAAGATGAGGGGAATTTGAATTTTCTCGGCTCGTTTGCTCGACCCGTGGCAACCAACTTCTCCTATTAAAGGTCGATTTTTCAATGAACTTCGAACTTTGCTATCAGCGTCCTCCACCCTTTCGTCCGACGGGACGAATCTCATTCTTCCAGGATGCGACTCTTTCATCGTTCGACGTACATTACATCTTCACGCTCACCCAATCGTTCTTTTTTAACCCTTTGCACTCCTATGTCGAGTGTGATTCGACATCAATTTTTATTTCAAGAGCTCCTTCGCCAAGTCCCACTCGACATTTTTTCAAGTTCAAACCAAAGAGATATCGTACACTTGAAAGTTACAAAACGCAACAACAGTGTAAATAAAACAGATATTTTAACAGGTAAATTTCAAATAAAACACTTAAAGGCGTTGGGAGCTGCTGGTAACAAAATTTAAATATAATTCGGAGTGCAAAGGGTTAAATACTCTACGCAATAACTTTTCTTCTTTTTTTTTTTTACAAGGCATTTGGAACCTTATGGGAGGTTTATTTCAGCTAAATAGGGGTGCATAATAGGGTCAGTTGCCCTGATATGGAATACGTTCCTAATTTGGAACACCGCAATATTGGCGATGAATGCAATTGATTACGATTGTCATTTGTTGCAACTAGCGTGCATATGCCCGAATTCCAAAGCAACACATGTTCGTAAAAGAATATTAAAGAAAATATTGCAGTTTGAGTTTTTGCAAGGTGATCTTCGGCCTAATATTATACATAAGGTAAGTGCATCAGTTTTGTGTTAGCTGGATTCTTCAAATATAGATATAAATATAAATATATATAATATAATATTTATTTATAAACATAGTATTCCATATTACGAGCACTATGAGCCTAATGTGGAAAATGAGGACCTCAATAAAAAAAAGTAAACACTTCCTAAACCGTTATTATATTTAAAATTTGACTGTTACCAGTCAAAAGAGCATAAAATTTCCTATAAATTCATAATATTTAAGTTTTTATAAAAGTTCTGCAAGCAAGTGAAACATGTCTATAAAGAAAAGTGTTCCATATTAGAGCAACTACTCTACAAGTACACTTACATCGGAATTTTCACTGCTTTTGTGTAAATATTTTTTTATCATACGGAATATGTGCGAATAAATATAACGGAATCTAGTGAAATTCAATTTATAAAATTTATTTTTAATTTCAAGAATATAAGAATAATTTTGACGTTTATTTTAGATGACCTTTCATCTCCAGATGTGCCTTTTAAGACACGTAATTATTGAACACCTTCGTTTCTCGAATATACATTTGTCGTTTAAAATGTAATATCTAAAAATATCGAAGTCTTGTCAATTCGGATATTAAAGAATCATAGATTTTGGGTCGCGTGCCAAGTTTCACGTTCCGAAAATCTGATCGTGAAACGGTGATTTAGCGATCCTTACAGAAAGATAGATTTTCGATAGAGCGTCTCGTATCGCGTTCTCCGGCGAGAAACAATGACAAAGCGATCAAGCAATTTCGCCGCCCTCGCGAGCCCACGTCTACGAAGTTTGCTCGATTCCACCGTCACCCCCCGTCGGTTCCTGATTGTTATTCTTACATCCCGCTCTGTTCATACGATAACAGCTACTCCCTAGATTACACAGGGGGCGTACAGACCCCCGCTGTAGTAAATACTGCGCGACGTGCTCCCGGGAGGCTCGCCTCTCGCGAAAAAAAGAACACGAAAACGTCGTGCACGGCACGGAGGTAGCGCCGATCGAGAAGAAAATGGAAAATATCGATTAGCAGCTTAATATAATGCAAAGCTGGATAGACGAACTCGGGGCAAAACTACCCCTCGGTTCCGTGCTGCCCTTTTTACACGATACAGCAACGATAGCACCGGATCCCGTGTCCATATTACGTTCGGTTATCGGTAAGTATAGTGTCAGCCGTATACTTACAACCTATTAGAAAAATTATATTTTCAGACTTTTCTGCTACAAATTAACCATCAACTTTTTATCCGTTCCAGGGTTGCAGAACTTTGGATTAAAATTAAATGTACCGTTGTAAATACGTAATTTTATTATACGCGGTCGCGCCGAATCAACGTAACATTACCAAAGAAAAATATTTAATTTGAAGTTCAGAGCATGCATTCGCGATTTTTGTTTACCCTGAAGAAAGCAAGTTTATGATACATTTTTATTTATTTATATAGCAATATGCATTATGTAGTAACTATGTTGGTAGTATGAAATTAATAATAACAAACTTCTTTGTTACAACTCGTCCGATTAAGCTAAATTCGCTTAAGCTGGTCGCGTGACATTAAAGGCATTTACTGTCACGGTAATAAATAAGGCGAATTTAATGTCGCAGGAACACGCAACATCGCAGACTTTCACAGAGTATATCAAAAAGTTATTAAGAAAGCC